TAAGCGTATCCGCTGTTGGGGAATGAAGAGAAGGTCAATTAAAGACAAATTGAGACGCATAAGCACAACACATGCCAAATCATGAGGTGATTAATCAAGGCTTGGTGATCCTTAGCTAAAGCCCTGAGGTCTTGAGCCTCGTGGTTTGACAGTATCACAAGCCTTAAGGACTGAACTTTGAAAACCGGCTAAAGCCGAACATCCCTAGACGGTTAACGCCCAAAGCTAAACCTTCAAACCCTAGTCCCTAGATCCTTAACCCTCCCTCCTCGGAGCGGCCGAGCGGCTAAAGTTCAAGGCCAGGGTCGTGGAGCTTTGACTCTGGCGGAGGCGCGCGGATGCACCTCGGCCAAAGGTTGTACGGTCTTTCTGTTGCCGTCAGGGGTCTGAAGGCCTTTTGGGTTCATAGCATGTCATGGCATCCACTATTTGAGATGGTTTATGATATGTCATAAGGTATATAGTGCTACAACCCACCCTCTAAGGTTCTACATCATGTATAGCTAATCAAATGTTGCCAGATATAATTTATATCACAACACAACGAAATGACGAAATGTGGCTGTAAATCTACGTACATCTACATCTGCACCTGCAAGCACATGCACGTGCACATGTGCATACCAATATCCATACACATACACATACGCATATACTTAGACAGGCATATCATACATGCATAATCGCTTCCACCTTTTATTAAACACCCCCTAATATTAAAAACACATTGAGCCCACTCCTCCCGAAATCATCCCTGCCCTTTAAAACCTATTCTGAATTAGGGGAGAGGGTTTCGAGGCTCCAAATACCCTTAGAGCACAGTAAGAGTAACAGCAAGAGCAGGAGCAAGAGCAAAGGCCGGAGCAGCAGCAAGAGCAAAGCAAAGCACAAGCGGGAGGAAGAGCGAGAGTAGGAGCAAAAGCGGGAGCAACAGCAAGAGTAGGAGCAGGGGCAAGAGCCGCAGCAGAAGCAGGAGCAAAAGCCAGCGCAGGAGCAAGAGCCAGAGCAGGAGCAAGAGCACGTCCCCTCAAAAGTGGCAGTAGAGATGGAAATACCCCCTAATAATAGAAACACTTTCCGAGTATCTATTGGGGGGAGGGCCGCCCCCGTTTAATATTAGGGGGAATGGATTACATATCCACGTGCACATAGACATATACATATACCTCTACAGATACATATACCATACATATACCTCTAGATACACGACATATACACGTGCCACAGATACCTTCACCACATATACAAGAAGTACATGTGCAGATACATGCAGAGATTATTGCACATACATATTCTTTTTGGACATGTGCAGCAACTGGCATGTATATGCATATATATATATATATAGATAAGCTCAGACATACTTCTACCTATACAGGTACGTGTGCATGTACATGTAGGTACAAAGGCAGGAACAGGTGTAGTAGCAGATTTAGATGAGTCGTAGGTATGGATTTAGATAATATAGATACAAGTATACACATCTGTAATCACATCGATACAGCTGTAGAACAATATGTAACACAGCTATACATATAGGTACGCAAAAAAGACATAATTAGGTGTAGATATCGACATAGACAGATAGGGCATATACATATAGATCTACATACAGGTATACATACGGATATAGCATGACAAATCTAAAAACAGATGAATAGGTACATATGCATATGCACACGCGCATGCGCATGCATTTGCACTTACACATACTACGTACCACATACACATTCAAATACAACCACATATACCAATTGAAGGCTAGAAAGGCAAGCCTCTGTGTGATTATGTGCAAGAGCATGTACGCGGAAAGTATGCAGGCTCAAAGATAAGCTTGCATGCAATTGCCAGAATGAGGTTCCGATTTCCAATGATTTGCAGCTTGCAGAGTTGGGCTTCAGGATATAGGTCCTTCAGATAAACATTTCAGTGTTCAGCTGGCATCCGGTCGCCACGCCCGTCCGCTTAAATCCTTTCGCTGCCGCCTTAAGCCAGGGCGGGTGCTCACTTCAAGACCCTTGAAAGCCTGACGACTATACCTAGCTATCTTTAAACCCAAGACCCATATGCCTTCATTCACAGGAGCAGTTTGCGAACCCTACTGATAGCCCTACAGATCGCTCAAATGTGGTGTTAAACGTGCCCCAGTACTTGTAACTCTACTAACTGCGTCCCCTGATCCTGCAACTATAGCTCCATTTCCCCATCAAGTGGTGGTGTTAAGCTGCCCTATTACTTATAACTATACTTACTGAGTCCGCTGATCCTTGAACTACAGCCCCATTTCCCCCTCTGAAGGCCAAAACAAAGAGCGCCGAGGCCTGGAATGGCTCGGGTTTGACCTCAGCGTAGAGGAGGTAGAGCACTACAGCACGCGGGTGCTGAAGGCCGAGACATCGCGTTTAGTGTTGGGGGGTTTGGGGTTTAGGGTTTAGGGTTTAGTTTTTAGGGTTTAGGGTTTAGGGTAGGATTTGGTTGGCAGGGTATTTATTCAGGTGCGCCCGGTGAGGGGGTTGGAAAGCCAAGCTTTTGGGTGGGTGTTTTTGTGTTTTTGAAGGCTCAGTGATGGAGTTTGCTCCTGCTTTGGGTTTACGAAACCCCATGTTTTACTTCTCTCAATCCCCAAGCCTTCAAACTCGCAGGAGCTAGACCAGAAGTCCTGAAGACCTTGGGCCCCGCAACACGAAACCCTCGTAATGGTCCGGAATCATGGTCAACATCGGCTAGGAGGCGAGCTGGGTTTCGGGCTTGGGCTGTGAGTTTCCGGGGTTATGAGCAAGTGCATTGTGGGCACAGGGTGTTGGGGTTAGGGTTTCGGGTTTTGCAGGTGCGGGCATAAGAGTGCCCATGTGTTTGGGGTCCAGGCTGTAGCGTTTTGTTTTTAGTGGTCTCTTGGAGTCGGGATTTGGGGCTTGGTGCTGCTTAGGGCCCGCAGGATCATGGGTACGCATGTTAGGTAAATATCTCTTCCCAGATGCAGAAGACTGTGAACCCTGGCTTTGTGTCCAAGCCACCTTGCATGCACGAACGCCCGTACACCTCTAACCCCTGAAGCAAACCTCAAACCCCGAGCCCACAACCTCGAACAACACTTCCCAACTGGTGGCTTGTGGTCCCTAAACCCTAAACCTGAAATCCCAAACTGGTGGCTTGTGGTCCTCAGCAATAATTAAAAAGAGACCCCAAGCCGACCGAGCCAACTGCTCGAAATCACCAACCTGGAGATGCTGACCTCTTGAAGTGCTGCAGTGATGATGGTTCTTTGTCGCAGCGCCGTCGGTACACTTGTTTATTGTTGATGGCATTCCTTCCACTCTTATTGCCGCTGTCGCTGCGGAACCCTCAACCCGAAACCCCACACCCCAAACCCCACATCCCCTTAGCCCGAACCCGAAACAATCAACCCTACAGCCTGAACCCTAAACCCTTCAACCCCAACCCCTCAACCTGAAACCCCTGGCCTGCCTCTACTAAACCATGTGAGTCATCAGTGATGTCAGAGAGGCTCACCGTGGACGCACGCCGAAGGAGGATCCCGAGGAAACTCTGTGGTTTCGAAGAAAAAGGTTTTTACAGGGCTGTTCTTTGGCTGTGATACCGTACTGCTTTAATCGGGTTTTCTCAAGGGGTGTGAAGGCTTGGGATTATGGTGATTCATATTACGAGTTCTTAGAATCAGAGGGAGGCGGCATGTTGTCCGCAAAGATCCTTATTCAATTTTCAAGATTACCTTACGTTGTTGAAGTGGGTTTGGAGCCTTTGTGTGTTTGATCTAGGAGTCTCAAGGAATGTGCAGCCATAGCTCTTCTTGGAGGCTAATGCTTGACATGAGAGTCTTCCAGAGGCAGCTTCAGAACTGTGGCGGTGGAACAACAGAAGTTGCCTCTGCCCCAATCCGCACAAGGCCGGCAATAAAGGGCGAGCATGCGGCCCGAGTTGAGGATCGCAGCTATCATCTCAAGAGTACTACCCATGTCAGGGAGTTTAACTAATTGCCTTCCGGGTCCACACCCCTCTTACCTGAAAGCCCCCTGCAAGAATGATCGGACACCCCGATGTCGACGTCCTTGAACAAGCCGTGAACCTCTAGACTCACAGATTCTCTCATGATTAGACCCTAAAGCCCTAAAGCCTACTGCCTGAACCCCAAACCCTTCAAAACACAAAGAGGACATGCTGCTGAGCGAGTTCGACTTCGTCCGGCTGGTGCGCTTGGTCCGGGAAGAGGAGAGCTCAGGGCAACTCCGTGCTTCGACCTCTGGGATCATTCAGCACCCCAACTAAGATACCTCTGACCTTTCTGACGAAGTCTTTTTTGATCCCTCAAGAGGTTTAGTATGGTATCAGCGTGGGTTTGGAAACTGAAAGGACTTAGTAAGTAAGGTTATATGTACAGGTGGGTTCGAAGTATCTATAGCTATGTAGTTGCGTTCCTTCTAGCCCGTGACAGAAGTCCCCTGATCCTGTAAGCATTTCAGGTGCCTTTTGGGGAGGTTCTCCCCGGAAGGACACACTCGCAACTCATTGCTTGGGGTTGCTGTTGAGGGTGGAGGTTTGAGGTTCAGGGCTTAGGGTCAAAGCGCTAAAGGCTTGGGCTTCAATCGACTGCATACCGTCTTTACCGGAGGACGCTCGGCGTGTCCTGTCCTGCCTGCTGTCCCTTGCCTGCATGCTGAGGTTCAGGTTAAGGGCGTAACAGACTCAGAACACTGCAAACAAAACACGTACACCCCAGAACCCTCAACCCGTAATCCGAAGATCAATCGCTCAAAGCCGTGCCCAAAGCAGTCGGAGTTTTATCAAGGTTCAAGAGCAAACAGCTACTTCCAAGACACCCTTACTGTTGTCTCAATAGTAGCTGAGCAGGTAACCTTTAAGCTTTTGGGTTTACGCAACCTTTCAGAAATTGGAGCTTGACCTGCTTGGTTTCAGCGAACTGCGCAACTAACTTTTGATGAGAGGCCCATGTTCGGATTTTGGGGGATCTTCGGCTAAACCCTAAACACCCCAAACCCCAAACTCCAAAACCCTGAATCCCAAGACGTTCGACACATTGGAAAACTGCGGTTCAGCTAATGGGGTTGCGCTAGAGTTTAGAGCTTATAGTGTTTAGGTTGCAGGGTTCAGGGATCCAGGTACTCAAATCCAACTACCCTAAACGGCTTTGCACGCCAACCCCGCTTTGCCCAACCTTGTCAGGTTTGGTTTAGGGGTTTTGGGGTTTAGGGTTTGGTCGATACTCAACTCCATTACATGAAGGTTTTGTTGTATCGTTTTTAAACATAACATTTACCATCGCTATCATGTTTGTCGTGGCTGCTATGTTGTTACTCTTGCCACTGCTGTGACGATTGTTGCCACCTTCAGGAGCCGAAAGAGAACTACCGTATTGAAGGCCTAAACGGAATGCCCGAAGGCCGGAACCCTACCGGCCTGCACTCGCAGCTTGACACAACCACGCTGAAGCACTCTAAACTGCTACAGCTACATCCCGGCGTAGTAAGCCCTCTCCCAGCCGAGGCGGATGCGCGGGGAGCAGGTGCGCATGGGATGCCATCCGACGGGATAGACGGGTTGTACACGATTTTGATAAGGGTCACTGGTTTGTTGCTCTCGACACCAGTATTATCTTTAGATCCTGCAACTTCAGATCTTTTAGATTTTCGGACGTACGGGTTTTGGATTCAGATAAAGCTTCGAGACATATCCGAAGATCTATGCGTGCCAAAGAGTTGAGACTGAGGGTTTAAGGTCGTGGATTTGAGACTTGGCGTGTCGAGTTTTGGATTTGGTGTTCAGAGATTTGGGATACAGGGTTGATGAAGTGGTCTACGGCCCAGGGTTGACATTGCAAGGCTCATGGATAGAAGTGTTTTTTACCTTAGGCTAATTAGGTGGGGCGATGCGTAGTCAGTGCTGCGCAGTCCCCTGACGAGAGTGGAGAAGGGCTCCCCAATAACTCTAGTGCATCTGCCCTAAACTTCCTAAACATTGGAAGTCTAATCCCAGAGAGTTACACCTTCTTTGCCCCCTATGCAGTGAGAAAGACGCCCTAGTTTTAACCAGGAAGCAGACTGCGAAAACCCTAAACCCTAAACCCAACCCTAAACCCCTAACCCCTAAACCCTAAACCCTACCTAAGCCATGTCAGGAAGAGGGCAGCCTGCCTGCCAGAGACCTGCCGACCCTTCTCTCAGCCCCTTGGTTGGTCGAGTAGAAATTTGTGTCGGGGTCTAGGGTTTAGGGGTTTAGGGTTGAGGGTTTGGTGTGCTTGCGTGCCGTGCCTTAGTCATCGAGACCAGCATCCGGGGTTTGGGGCTTAGAGGTTCGGGATGTTGGTGCTTTAGGAGAGCCACTCCTGAAGCCTGAGCCTTGAGACCTAAACCTGACACCGTAAACCCTAGACAAGCCTCCAGCAAAAGAGCTTCCGTAGCCTGGGCTCTGAAAGCTGCTTAGAATTTTGAAATTTCAGATTTAGGCTTGAGGGTTTAGGTTTCAGAGCTTCGGGTTTAGAGTTTAGGATTTAGGTTTTTATGAGGTTTTATCTGGTGTTCGTAGGGTCTGAAAGTCTGAAAGAGTTTTGCAAGGTTCTATCGGATTTACGGCCTGTGTTTGTATGTTTTGTGTATACGGTTACTTGCGTTTTTATGGGGTCTTGTGCGGTCTCCCAGGGTTTTGTAGGGTGCAGAATAGGGGTCTGAGTAATTTGTTATAGCATTCCGCAAAGTTCCTCAATGTATTGGCCGTATAAAGCCAACAGACACCCTAATGCAATTGCTTAGCTTTCTTTTACTCTAGTGCACCCGAAGCCTTAAACCCCTGAAGCCTTAACGCTCACCCCCTGTATCCTGAACACTACACCCTCAGTTCCTCACGGAAGAAAACCCACGCGCAGAAGGTAATTCGCTCAGTGCAAATGCGAAGCTACCCTTGCATGGGGAAGGAGAGCTTCCCTCTCAACGAACCTTTAACATCTACTCCCTTACTTCAGATGAACTTCGACATCCTGCATTGAGGTACTGATTTCATGCGCATCGCTCCTAAGGGCAGCCTCAACTTTCTGCCGTTCGCCTTTGCTACTTTCCGCTGAGGACATGAACGTCGCACTCGCCTCGCCAGACGTGGTCTTCGAAGCCCTGAAGGCATCATGGGCTTTTGGTTTTGGGAACGCACGAAGTCTGTGTCAAAATCCTATTCTGGCCCAAAAGCCTGCAGCATCCCTAGCAATCAGGCGTTGACCTCTTAAACCCAAAATAAACATAAGCCCCAAATCGGAACTTCCCTCTGGCTCCTGAGCTCTCAGCAACCCTAAAGCCCTGAATCCCGAACCGCTAAATGCCCAGGGTCATACCCGGACTAGGGTCCACTTGACCCCGATCCTCCCTCCACCCTACGAGGATGCTAACTCACTAGTGCCAAAGCGCAAGTCTCTATGACCTGAACTGCATGCCCCTGTCCCAAGCCAGCGCACCAAACCACAAGACTCACAACCACCAATCTGCTTTGCGCTGAAAATCCCTGAGCTTTGACAACCCCGAACCCTAAACCATCACACCCAACCTCTTCCGATCCTCAGCAAGTGTTTGTAAACGCGCTTAAAATCTAGTTGCTAAGCCTGCCGAGCCTGCCCGGGAACCCTCATCCCAGAACCCTCAAGCTTAACATCCCAACGTAGTCTGTATGTATACATTATTGCCAAAAGTCGTGACCCTCATCTCCTTGTTACGGTCCCCAAAACCTGTAAACCTCTATAGCACCCTCGAAGGAACCTTAAAAAAAGCATAAGCCCGCGGTATACAGCTCTCTAACCAAGCTCTGTAAAGCCACTTAAGCGCTCTATGAAAATCTGTAACAACTACCGATGAAAACGTTGAGCCTTCTGCTCGGACAGAGGCGTTGGGCTTGGAAGAGAAGTTGGAGTTGACCTTGGAAGACATCATGCACCCTGGAGAAAAAGGCTTGAAGGTTTAGAGATGAGAGGGTTTAGTGGTGTATGAGTGTAGGGGTTTAGGGTTCAAGGGTTTGAATGTGGTTTTAGGATGTAGAGGTTTAGGGTTTAAGGGGTTTGGAGGTGGCTTAAGGATTAGTGTGGGGTGAGAGACTTTAAGGTTCCATTGGACCTTTGGGTCATGCCGGGGTTGCTGTTGAACATTTTAGGGTTTGGGGTTGCGGCGTCTTCGGGCGTTTAGAATGTTTAGTACTTTTGGGATTCGAGGAAGGGTTTGCGGTTTGAGGCTTAAGATTCGTAAAGGAGGATGTAACACTTGCTTTTCTGTATAAGCAGACGAGTTGCTTTGGACTGAGTTCTACAAAGATGACAACTCTGTCAGACTTTTCGAATACCATGGGCTGGCAGCCATGTGCAGCTCGATACCACCCGCAGTCTTTTAAGAAGTTGAGTCTTTAGTTCCCACATGTCTCCCTGAGTCCTTCAACACCTAGCTTTCCAAAGCCCGCAAAAACTGTCAAGGCCGGTCCTATGGCAACTCCGGCGCTGTCAGGGGCTTACCCAGGTGCACATGGGGGTGGGGGGTGGGGGTGGGGTTTTTGCCTCTGCTAAGGATGTGTGTAAACGGTTTAAATGGTTGTTGTTGGGTCCGTTGCTAGCCCCTAAGCCCCAGAAACTTTTGACACCATAGGCCATGAGTCATACGCCTTTGAAGCTTCACATTCCCATGCCTTAGGTCCCTGAAGCCTTATATGCCAGAGCAAAAACACTAAGTTTCCCAACTTATGTTTCGCAGCCCTAAACCAGAACAGGCCATCCTGGAGGAGTTTTGCAAACGTTTCTGAGCATCGTTTACCCATACTCCTGCTTCCCGGGTTTCATCTATACAGAAATATCCGTGTGCTTCATGGCTTCAGTGTCTTGGGCTTGTGGCTGCTGTTGCGGGGGGTTCGACTTAACTACACCACAAACCCAAGACTGGGTTGGTAACCAGACCCTGGACCTTCGTCTAGAAACTGGACGCCTCGCACCCCAACCCGAAACCTGACAACCCAGCCCTCAAACCAAAGACCCTTGAAAGCCTGCACCCAACCTCTCTTGAGTCCAGGTGTCTGAGGATTTTGGTGTTGATTTTAGGCTACTAAAGCTCCGAAACCCACAAGCCTCGGCCTAACCTGGAACACAGCAGCCTGTATAACACTGGCTTTAATTCGCTGGGTGGTTCCCTGATCTATTTGTCGGGTAGAACCGCTCCCCACAAATCCCTAGCCCACTTGTTCACATCCCTACATCACCTCATTCAGAAGTCGAAACCGAGCACAACGAACCTCATAGAATCATCTGCAGCTGGCCCTGCGCAGGCTGAGCTCGAGCTCGCCCGACAGCTTCTTTGCTGGACAGAGTTTAGGGATAAGGGATTACGGTTTTAGAGCTGTTAGCCATGGGCTTTGGGACTGCGGGATTGAATTTAGTGTTAGGACTTTTTGTGTTTATGGTTTCGGGGTCTGGTGGGTTTGTGCGGTTTGTTGGAGAGATTTTCGGTTTAGGGTTTTTAGGGTTCATCTCTTTTCTGCGTCGCCAGCTGAGCTCCCGAGAGTCATTTCCGTTAAATGTCTATGCCCCTACCTGTCCCTTTCAAAATCCCTGGGAACATAAAGATGTATAACATGATGATTCATGATCGCCAATCCTAAACCCTGCAGCCTGAATCATCCAGCAAAGTAGCTTGCGTGGGGATGGCAGACCAGGCTTCCCAAAGCTGTCCCTCTGAAGCGAGGCAGTTCGAGCAATGTGATGAAGATGGGTCTGGAGGTGCAAAGGGGGGTCAGGGGGGGCAGGGTTCTTCAGATCAGCAGGGACAACAACAAAAGTGCGCACGATCCCAGTTACCCTTCTACAGTCCTAATCAAGGAAACTCATCTGAATTTGTGCAGGGCTTCTGTTTCCATTTGAGGCAGAAGGCTTGCTTTAAGGTACTGGGTTCCTTGTAAGCCTTGAGAGATAGTCGTGATACTCCTTCACCGAGAAGAAGCTCTTAAATTCTCGAATCCGGGTCCTCCCAGGAGTTGGCTTGTTCTTCTAAAGGTCATTGTTGTCGTCTTGTCAGATCGTTGCAACAAAGGGAGCCGATCTCAGGGCTATTCGGGGGACAGGCACCTTCACCCCAAATGGATGAACTTTGGAGCTGTTGGGTTTAGGACTGGAGTGGCTTCCTTGCATCGGCCGTTCTTGCAAGTTTATCTTCAAACATAGTCTACTCTCAAGAATTACAAGGGTGCCTCCAAGAACAGGCAAGCTAAACCCAAGGCAGACAAATTATCGCATGGAGTATAGAGGTCTGCAAAATCAAAATAACAGTACTATTCTTTAGGATTCCTGCATCTGCTTGTCGAACAGACACCCACCCAGTTCTGATTGTCAAGATTAGCCCCTTTGCGGCCTGGGACCGGGTCGGGGGATCAAAGCCTATTGATCTGCAGAGGTTCCACTGAAATCACAGCAGCGGAAAGCTTTAGGGTGTTGGGTTAAAGGCAACAGATGTTACCCTCCTTTACTATGGAACAGTTTTTGTAATTTGCCGTAAGTTTTCTTACGGTGTTTACCCGGTTTCGATTCAGACGTTACATGGTTGCTTTTCACGGCAAAGGGTCTTCGAGTGCAGCTTGAGGGGCGTAATCGGGTTGGAAGTTTTGGGGTTTAGACTTGACTTGGGGATTTCAGAGGCTCATGATTGTGGGCTTTGGGTCTTTAGCCTCTGCTCCCAAACCCCTTTAAACAAGACACGTCCTAAACTCCTAAATTCCATAGTCCTTCAGAAGAGGCTAAACCCTGAACCCTAGACACCCAAGAAACGGACACCCCGAAACCGACAAAATAGCTTCCCGAAATAAAAAAAAGCCAAACGGCTAAGAAGGGCGGTGTTTGCCAGGCATGGCCTGCGCTGAGCTCGAGTTCGCCGTCCGCTCCCTTGGCTTCCCAGTGAATTATGAGGAGGTTCAGGAGAGACTGGGTTTAGGGTTTAGGGTTTAGGGTTTAGGGTTTAGAGTTCAGGAGAGACTGCTTGTCTGTCTGGTGCTTAGTAGGGAATGGGGGAATGGATCCCTATGATAGTCCCTTAAGGTCCCTTATATTAGTCCCTATAACCCATTCCCTACTAAGCACCAGACAGTTGTTGGGAGAGACTGCTTGTTTAGGGGTTTAGGGGTCTAGGGAGTTAGGGTTTCGGGGTTTAGGGTTTCGGGGTTTAGGGTTTAGGGGGTTAGGGTTAAGGGGTTAAGGGGTTCAGGGTTTTAGGGTTTGGGGGGGTTTGGGGTTTAGGGTTTGGGGGGTTAGGTGGTGTGGGTTCGGAGTGGGATTTAGGGCCAGGGCCTGGTGCTTGGAGTTTAGAGAGGGGTGGCTTGGGGCTTAGGGTTGAGTCTGCCAGACCCGTTCGGGTTTGTTGCAAGAGTTTTGGTGTTTATTGTTGTTCAGAATTTTGGAGCCGCAGGCCGATTCTACTTGTAGCTACGGGAGTGCACAGTGTTCAGGGTTGGGGACTTGCGGTTTTAGGGCCGCGCTGTTTTGTTGCCAGTATACCTTAAGTTGGAGAGTGAAGGCTTATCGGAGATATTGAGGTCTCTCATAGACCTGTTTCGGGACCTTTCGGGATTGACCTGATTTCAAAGTTCGGGGCTTTGTGGTTTTCCGGGATGTACGTAGGGTTTTCGGGTTTTCGGACTTTAGGGTTTTGGGGCCTGGGGTTTAGGGTTTGGGCTTTGGCGGTTCCGCTCCTCATCAGAGGGATCGTGTAGTTCAAGAAGGTCTATATCAAAGGCCCCTGCATTTCCGAAAGCTCGCATGCGTCTTGCACGGGAGAGGCTTGAATTTCAGAATGCTTAGGAGTCTGTGTTGGCTGTGGGGGGATGGAAAGTGTGTTTGGGACTGCCAGATGCGAGTTGAGACAGAGTCAGGATCTGTTCTTTGGGTCAGCATCCCACCGATGCAGGAGAAGCTTGATGAGTGGGACATGGACGAGTCTGGCGAGATTGCATCTGGGCAGCGCATAGTAGCCGTGGCTCAGCGGCCGAGGCTTGAATTGAGAAATACATATGATTGCAAGATGCTGTTTAGCCCTTATAACATGGGCGGCAAGCCGCAACTTGCGGAGTTCTCGAGTTTTCGGTTTCTTCGGGATGCAGTCCCAAGCCCACCCTTTACTGCATTGGTCCCGCTGTGGTAGCTAAGCCCTCAAACGTTTGAAGCCCGGCTTTCGGCGTGTGATTCTGGGTTCAATCCTGAGCCTTGACCCCAAATCGTCTAAGCCTGCCAACTCCTGTCCTCAGTGCAAGCCCTAAAACTCGAAGCACCAAGCTCCTGAAACTGCAAGGCCCCACATCCTAAACTACATACCTACCATTGATGGGCAAACTAGTGAAACTATGTTGTACATCTTTCTCATTGGAGAGTGCAGGAGGGCAGTTGCAAGCCCTTCAAACCCTAAGCTAGATCCTAAACCCTAGAGCCCGAACCTTAAAACAAGCAAAAGAACCAATGCCTTGAGCAATGACTGGCCTTTTCTCACTAGGAGTTCATTGAGTTCCTCAAAGTCTTGTCGGACTACAAGAAGAAGGCGCTTGGGTGTGGGATGGTTTGGGACTTACGGCATGTGGGCTTCGGGACTTAGTGTTTGGGGCTTAAGTGGTCAAGCTCAAGTTCAACAGGTTGGAATCTGAAAGGGGCCTCAGGCATAAGTCATTTTTATCGCATTCTCTTTCAAAATTCATCTCGCACCCTGTCTTCAAGATCTTACCGTATTATGACTTGACGTCGTTTCGGTCCTGATATTCGGTTGTAATGATCTGAGTGAGGCTCAGGCTCATGCGGCTTGCTCCTGTTGCCAGACGGTTCAGGGGGTTCAGCTGCCTGGAGTCACATGCCCTTGCCAGGTTGAAAACATCTGGCATGAGGCCTTCATTTGGACAGTTGTCAATATTATGGTCCCTTTTGGGGTACCATAATTTTGACAACCACCCTTTTGAGTAGTAAAGATCGTATGTTGTTGCGTAATCCCCATTTAAAAAAGTTTCCGATCGATATCGGGCTTAACATCCTGCCGACGGTCCCACCCGAAACCCTGCACCTTAGCTCTGAACCCAAACCCGAAGCACCAAATCCTGAACCCGAATGTCCTCCGTCCCAGCTGCCATCAGACAACAACAAAAGGCAAGTAGTAAGCAGTCAGCAGCAAGCAACTTCTGGTGTAAGTACACCTTCACCCAAGTCCAGAAGCTCACAGAACCTCACAAGCGAAAGCCCAGCCATAACTCAACTGTGCTAGGATCAGTTGGTGGCCGAAAAAAAATTCAAAATCCCGAACCGAACCCTGAACCCAAAACACACATCCCGACATCCGAGGCCCCCAAAACGCAAATCGCAGACCACCTCCTCAGCGCCCAAGTTGCCAGGAGCTCCAGCAAGTGCTGACCGCCATGTTTACGGGCCAGCCGAAGCGCCGACCCTCCTTTGCCATGCACGCCGGGGCCTCTCAGATCGTTCGTAGACTTCAACGCTTTGGCTTTTGGGGTTGCTTGGGGTTGCAAGGAAGGCTGAGGTTTCTGACCTTTCGAGATACGGTTTAGGGTTTAGGGTTTAGGGTTTAAGGTTTAGGGTTTAGGGTTTAGGGTGTTTTTTTTCGTGGATGGGCGTTGGAAGATTTTCGATGGGCTGTTCACGCCTTCCTTTCGTGCTGGTTACCGGTTGTAGAGGCTTGAGTTTGTTTTGTTAGCTGCTGCTCTGCTGCTCAGGGCCTCGGACTGTCGGGTTTAGGGTTACAGGTTTATAGAGATATAAGATCTTAAGGTTTAGGGCTTAGGGCGTAGGGCTGAGATTGCTTGAGTGTGTTGTGCTGTTTCTTTGAGCGGCTCACGGCCAAAAATTGTAAAGCTCTGTAACGGGCCCGTAAGACCCGTACATCCCAAGCCCCCTCTTGCAGAAAAGCAAGCCCGCCCTGAGTGTTGAGAAAAGGTTTTCTGGGTTTGGGGTTTCTGGTTTGGGGGACCCCACACTCTGCGTGACGACACAGACTCTGAACCAAAAGCCTGCAGCCCTAAACCAGTAGAACTTTCGCCAACTTTAGCCGAAAGGAATATGCACATAGACACTCCCGAAACCCTAAACAGAGGCAGATCCTTAATTCCCAACCCTAGACCTGCACCCTGGATTTCTAAGCTAAGCCCCAAAATCCTGAAGGCTCCAGACCTTGAGCCATTTGGCATAAGGCCCTATTATACGCCCCAAAAAGAGCCTTTCTGAAGCCAGAAAGACCCCTTCAACTCTTCCAGGCCATGGGTGAGCAGTCGCAGCCCCTGCCAGCTGCACCGAAAGCGAAGGCTCGACCCCACGGTTGTTAAGGGTTTAGGGTTTGGGGTTTAGGGTTTAGGGTTTAGAGTTTAAGGTTCAGGGTTTAGGGTTTAGGTTTTGAGTTCAAAGAGTTGGGTTCAAAGGCCTTGGGTTTGGGATTTGTTGGTTTAAGGTTTGGTGGGCTGTGAAAGGTTTTGGTTTGAGGATTTGAGGGTGTTGGGCTTTGTGGCTTTGGGTTTCAAGGTTCAGGGTTTGGGGTTCGGGCTGTAGAGTTTCTTGCGGGTTCTCCGCAAGCGAGATCAGATTTGTGACTCCCAAACCTAACCTTTTTGAACGGCCAGACTAATCTGCTTTATAATCGAATGAGTGACAGGAGCCCCCCGAGTTCACTTCGAACTTTAAAGGGCTCCATTGGGCCTTCGAGAAATTCAGAACCCCTTAAGCTTGCATTAGTATCAGCATTCCTTTCCTGAATGAAGGCTTCGATGCTCCAGCGCCAGCAGGCCTGTTTCTTAGTGTCGGTAGGAGTGTGCGCTTGGGCTTGAGGATGTCTCGTTCAAGGGCTCAGGTGTTAGCCTAGACCCTCAACCGTGCGAGGGCTTGAGCAGTTGCGCTTCCTTGCGGTGCGTTTGGATTCTGCTCGGTTCCTGAGGCTGTAGTAGAGCCTCTGGACTCTGAGCTTGGCATTTCAAGGTCTCCAATCCGTTTTGTGTGTTGCAAAGGGGTTGCTGAGTCGACGCGGAACTTCTGCTCTCGATTCCGAAAGTGTCGAAGCCCTGAGCCCGAGAACCCCCAAGCTCCCTTCCGAACCCGCCGGGCATCTCGCCCTATACAGACGGGCCTCGACTCTCAATCCCAATAACGCTTAAGATTGCCTTTGCAGTATCACCCCTTCCCCCCCTTCCAACGAAAATCAGTTAACTGCATTGTGAACTTTACACTGCCAGACGGAGCTACCCTCGCTGCTGCTGCAGTCAGGGCATTCGCCCTTGCGTCAGGCGCACTCCAGCTTCGGTCTCGAGAGCTGTGGTGTAGAGGATTGGAGGTTTAGGTTTGGGGATTTGAGGTTTAGGGCTGGGGTTTGGGGCTACATATTGCGGATTCGCTGAAGTCCTAAACCCTAAGCCCCGAGCCCCTCATGCCCCAAACACTACGATCTACACCCGAAGCCCCTAGAGCCCCAAAGCCCTAAGCCCCAACCTCCTCAAGCCGTAAACCTCTAAACCCTTCTTGGGTTTCCACTGCGCCGTTCCAACAGGGCAGTTCCAAAGGATCAGGCCAACGACACTCCAGTGTCTCTAGAGTTTGAAAGTACTACGTAAACCAGCAAAGAAGTCCCATGCAAAGCATGGTATCTTGAATCACAAGCCACAGTCCCCTTAAATACTCCAGAAGCATTTTTTAACTGAGGGCTATTGGGTCGTTTGTTTTGGAGTCCTGCAAGCCATTACTATATATACGAAACTTATGCCGTAAAGCTCGAAACGTCGGAACCAGAGCCCGCTAACTGCGCCGCAATCCCTGCACCTGAAACCCCGACTATTGAGAGCGGCATTCTGTGCACGCAGCGGCAATCATACGCTCAGTCCGCACCAAAGCAAAACAGCTCTTGCACACCGCCCTTCTGAATTCGCTGTGATTTCAGCCCTAAAGTGACAAGCCTGTACTTGTAACCTATAAACTCAAAACCCGAGAGAAACCCTAAGCCATAAACCGGAGCTAGCCCAGAGATTTTCTCCCGCAGGGCAGCGGTGTCTTGCAGTTCTGCCTGCTCCCGAGATGGCTACACTTGTCCCCTTTAGGGCTCCTTTGAAGGTTCCTTGAGGCTACATAAGAGGTCTTTAGAGCTGTCGGAGGTACTTGACGGATCAGGGAGGCTGGTAAGTAGGGTGATCAGCAAGGTAAGTACCGGATGACTATTGGCTACTGCCTCCCATGAACCTTCAAAACAGGGCCACGGGCTTTTCATGTCGGGCTTGTCCGTTCTACTCCACACGATTCTGGGTTCTAAAGCTTAAGCTTGGGGCCTGGGGCTTACATCGCCATGTAAAAATTGGCCGAAGCAGTGGTCTGGTTCCCTGTGCACTACCCTGACCCCTAAACACCCTACCATCCGAACAAATTTTTATTCCCCAAACTTCAGCCCGAGCCCGGAGCCTTAAACCCCAAGCTTTACACCTGTACACATCCCGAAGCAGTCTCCAACCTCAAGCCTTTTAACCGCACAAACACCGAATCCAAAAAAGCGGTTTCCTGCTTCGGAGTTTGAGAGCATACAGCTGTAATGAATGACTCTTGGCTGAATGAATTCAGGGTGTTTGCCGGGAACAGGCCGGATTCCCGAAGAGGCATCTGTCACTGAATCATGCAGGTCTTGACCTGGGCATTGAGCCCTTTCTATCCTTCCTTCCACTCTCCACTTCTCCTGGGGTTAGGTCTTCCTGACGGCCATCGGTGTTTGCGAAGTGTTGCTTCCAGGTCTGGACAGCCCAGCAGCAGCTGACAAGAAGTTGCATGTCTGAACTAGCTTGGATTCGGGCTTGACGTGTGTACCATGCTACATAATTCCTACCGGGGCTATAAGGGGATATGTTTTGAGGACCGCTTCTGGCATGGGGCTTCATGCTTGGTTTCAGAGCCGCTTCAAAAGTCTCATACCGGAGGGTGCTCTATCTAAGGACCCCGTTTTAAGGTTCGGCATACGGAAGCTTCAGCTGGCAAAGACCTAGCTTCAATCTAGACAAGCTAAAGTTGAAACGTAGGCAAGGTGACGAAAGCACCTTTCTTGTCTAGGCCTTGCTGCGGAACCAACCACCCAACCGGCCTTCATCCAAACCTCAGGCTGAATCTCTGGGGTTTCGCGGGGCTGATTGCCGAGTATCGCAGCGAAGCCTGGCCTGTCTTGTTCATGTCGGCTTTTTGTTATGATTTGGACGGTTTGCAATTAATGCAGCTGCCTTCATGAACAGGCGGGGTATGAACTGGGTCATATTTATTATTGTGTGAGCCTCGGTTAGATGTGTCATGACTATTCATCATTACCGTTGCGGTCACCCAGCTCTCGTTTTTGTGTTGTCGTCGTCGTCGTCGTCGTCGCTGTTGCTGCTGCTGTTGGTGCGAGTCTTGCTGTCGTTGCTGTGTTGAGCTGTTGCCATCCTTGCTATACAGCACTGTTCCTGCAAAGACTTGAACTCGTCATCTCCAAGTTATAAATGTGAAGATCAAACTGATAACTGATGGCTAAATCCTGAACCCTCAAAGTTCGAACAATTGGGACTTGTGGAATTAGATCCGCAGCACAGTGTGTTGCGGCCACGGTTTGCATGGGAGCAAATCATCAGTAGCCGATTGCTGTACTTCGCGGAGCGCCTAAACGGAGACACTTTGGAATGTTTGTTTTGCAAGTCTCGCGAAGAGTTTCAGGTTCCAGCAAAACGATACCCCATACGCCCGCTTGGTCTCGGGTGCATTTGTCAGGACTCTAAGTGCCGCATCCTAACTCACTGTGCCTCTCCAAATGCCCAAGCCTGAGGCCCTAAGGAGTTCTTAAGCATCCCACAGATCCAACATCTATGGATTGCTTGAGCTTTCTTTTGTTCGTATGTTGGAGATTCCTTTACCAAGCCCTGCAGTAATTATTGCATAGGGTTCATCTGCCCCCTGCACCCGAAACCCTCTCAGGAGATCAATGCGGAAATTCGGCGGAACCAAGGCTTCACCGAGGCCGGTGTCGCTTTCCGCTGTGAACTCGGAGCGGGGCAATATATGCATTTAGTTTAGGAGTGGCTTTGAACGCCAGAGCCCGAAATCTCGCTTTGATGCTCTCAGCTAGCTGCAGAGTTGTAGCAGTAGCAGTAGCAGCTGCAACAGGAGGAGTTGTGCTCGTCGTAGTCGTCATCTTCGTGGTCGTGGTAGCAGTGGCGGTGGTGGTGGTGGTGGTGGTGGTGGTGGTGGTGGTGGTGGTGGTTGTGGTTGTGGTGGTATTAGTACTCGTAGAATAGCAGGAGGAGGACACGCAGGAGCGGGAGGAAGAGGCGGAGGAGGAATAGCATGAGGCGAGCAATAGCAGGAGCAGAGCAACGGCAGTAGTGTACATAGTGGTACAGTACCAGGGTGGAGTGCCGGTCCTATGACTCTTGTGATTTGTTTGGCAGTGCCGCACCCTTTCCAGGCAGAGGTCATCCAACTCTACGAGACGTTCCGCACCCTGGCAGATTCCGGTCTAAGTGGTCTCGTAAGCCGACATTTGCTCCCTCAGAACCCTGCTGGAACCGTAAAAGCCAAAAGCCCGAGAGCCACAACTTCAGGAAGCTATACCTCCGCAACAAGAATTCCTACCCCCTCAAAGCCCGAAGCCCCAAGACTTAAGACCCAAACCCGAAATTCCCGAAGCCCCCGCCCAAACATCCTCCCGGCCGCCTTCAAGGCAGCTATGATCCACGAGGGTCCGGCATCATCGCCAAGTCACAGCTGCTCGCTTAAAACGATCAGACCCCGACGGCCTGGACCGTTAGGGGATTCGGAACGTTGGGGCTCTTCGGTTTAGTGCTCAGCTTTGACGGTGCGAGCCCCATCTCGGGGTGTGATGAAGCTTCAGCATCCTCTGTTATTGTTCCGAACCGTAAAAATAACATAGGGGTTCAGAATAATTAGTGCAGAAGTATCCCCGTATAGTCGCTGAATTATGCTGCAAGTTACCCTAAAACCTGAATGTACTCGCCAAGGCCCCGATATTACGGCAAAGCAGACGAACAAAGAAAAACGCAAACCTCAAAGCCAACGGTGACCCAGGCTCCGCCGCTTGCTTCTGGAGCACTGCCCCCATGCAGAGCGAACGCAGGCCGGATCTGTGCCCAGATCGGTGGATGTTTCTGGATTTTAGGCATGTTGCTGCGATGGGGCTCGTGTCATGCTGAAGACTCTAAGACGCTGCTGCATGTGGTACGGAACGAATAGGGTTTGAGAGACGTCCCACACTAATTTTGGATAAGTTTGGCTACAGGCTCCTGCATCGCTCCGCAAGATCAAGTCTAGACTCAATCCCCAACCCTAAAGCCTAGATCTAAACCTCCCGCATTTCCAGAGCCCTCAACCTGAAGCGTTCCAAAGCGTAAATCTCAGTGCCACAACAACCCTAGACCCTGCACCCTGGAACGATAGAGCCCCAACACCCGCCCAAATGCCATACAGCTGTCCTGCGAATTTTTCAGAGGCTGGCCGGGACCAGATTGCGACGATGATTCGGGACTGATCCGGTGTTCGTACTCTTTCGCATTTTTCGTTTCGAGGGTTCAGGCCATCGACTTTAGGGTTGGGTCAAAGGTAGAGTGCAGAGATTTCATCTGGATATTGTTGCGGTCGCTACGGAGTTTGTCACTGCAGCGACTATGTCTCTTGCTAGCCCTGCCATATATCAGTAGAATTCAGTAGCTTCCAGCACCTGCTTACTGCTCTACAACTTGCCCCCCAAACCCAAACCCTAAACACCCAAAGCCCTGCACCCGAAACAAACCCTTCAAAGACTGCAAGCAGTGCCACAGAGCACGGATCGCAGCTTCGCTTTCACGAGTTTAGGGGGCGAGAGGCGTCGAGGGATTGGAGAAGTAGCGGGTGACCCTACACCCTAAATACTATGAAGCCCTATAAAGCCTAAACCTTAAAAGCAAAGCCCTAAAGCCCTAAAGCCCCGAAGCACTAAGCACCCAAAACCCTGGAAGCTCTAGAAGCCCGAAGACCTGAATCCTGAAGTCCCCGGAGGAGAGCGACCAGGATGGCTCAGGTAGCATCGCCACTTGGCAGAGTTTGGGGGCTGTTGAAGCTTCAGGGCTTTAGGCTTGTAGGGTTTTTAGAGCTTTCTTTGTGGTGTGGGCCCGATTAGGCTGTTTTTTTGATTTGGGATGTGTCTGAGAGTACAGTATCACGTAACATTCTTAAAGTGCAACGCGCGAAATCTTCAAACATGAGCCCCAAACCCCCCCATCGAGTCCTCGGCCTTTCAGCTCCACATTGCGCTGACGAGCCAGCATGCATGAAGCAGCAGAAGATTTGAATGCCTTGAACCCAACTCCCCAACGTTCTCCACCCATGGCCGTCAACCCAAAGGATTATGATTGAAATGCACTTAAAAGGATTATCCTATACTTTCCCCCCTCGCCTGTCTCGACCCAATCCTATGGACATACCCTTAAAACCTCATCTCTTAGGACTTTATGGAGTTCCTCAAGCTCATGCGCCTCGTGCGCAACCGCTGGAGCCGGGAAAAGCTGGTGCCCCTGCCGCATGTGCGGTCTAAGCCGTTTAGCTTAGCGTCATCGGTTTTGGATTCGGGGTATACAGTTCAGAGTTTTGGGTGTAGGATTTGGGATTGGTGGTGTAGCATGTTCATGACGGTGAAATGGGTTGTCATGAGGATGAAGTGTAACCGTGCTTGACGAGGCTTAGACAAGCTCTAGCAAGCTTTGGTCGAGGGCGGATCGTGTAAGAAGGTCCGACGATGTTGAAGCAGATTTGGTGTGGTGTTATGCGTGTGGGTGAAGTTTAGTATGCGCGCTACCAGGGCCGAAGTGGATTTACTTTAGAAGCGGTTCAGTTGCAGTTTGAAGTAATGCGGAGTTTTTGCTCAAAATAGACGGCATTGGGGACTGGTGACCGCATCCCCGAATCCAAAAATCCCTGGACACGCACTTATCATGTCTTTTGATTACCGCAGCCTCAAAACCCAAGACCAAGCTGTAGTTCCAGGGTGGTGCCAGTACTTGACGCTACCAGCGGTCTACCTGTTCTTTCCAGTTGTAGCCCACACGTGTGTATATGTTTGGAAATACATCCTTCAGTACAACCTCCGAAACGCCGTTCAGAGACCTAGAACTTGAGCCCTCAACCCTACGGTTCTCTGTGCACTCAGGCAAAGGAGAGGGCGGCAGAGACATGGCTGAAGTTCTCGTGAAGTGTGTTGCAGATTTGGGGGCGGTTAGGAATGAGATAGATGACGCAGGGACCTGAACGATTAAAACATGGGGCTTGGTGCTTTATTATACTTCACCAAGTACGTCGAGTTTATATAGGCATTCCATTGGTATGTCGAGATTATATAGGCATCCCACGACTAGTTATTAAGACCCTTTGGGCTTCTAGGATCGCGGCACGGGGATACAGAATAGAGCAAATGAGCGAATCGAAGCATGGTACATGGGTTTTTCGTTTAGGGTTAAGGCTTTGGGTTTAGGGGTTTGGGCTTTAGGGATAATTTAGGATCCTACGGTACGGCCCAACCAGTCCCTCTTGGCTATGTCGCGAGTATTCACAGATATATCCCGTGCCAAAAATGCACAATCCACGCTGTCGATCTTGACGATAAACAATAATTCGAACAGCACTGAAAGCAATGATTAGACTTCTTACCGCAAGAATATTCACAAGGAAAATATTACCGCTAAACATGGTTGTCTTCATGCTCACGATCCATTACTTTCGTCTAGCCCCACGACATCTGCTACATCCAGTAAACCCTGCCCTCCAAAGTGTAGCCGCAAGCCGAGAGCCTTGCGCCTTAGGACGCGACCCTCGCACCAGAAGCCCTGAACCCCAAACAGGTCAAGCGCTTGAACCTTTGTAGGTTTCATTCAGCGAATCCCAAACCCGAAGCTCCAATCCTAAGCCCCACAGACGATCACACGCCGACCTTGAAAAACGAAGCCGCCCCATGCCTTAAAAGCCGAAAACACCGCTACACTCTTAAAATGGAAGCCCCGAGGCCAAAACTCCACCACCCTCCTGCCCGAAAGCGCACGAAGCAGCGCCCTTAACCCCTAAACCGAACTCCTCAAACCCCAAATCCCTGCCGCCCTGGAATCTAAAGCCGGTCCAGAGGTTGCTGACACCAAGTTCTCGGTGCGGGAGCTGAAAGAGTTCCTTGGAGCTTGAACCGTATGCAAGGGTTTATGCGGAGCTTGTGTGTAGGGTTGATTTTCTCTGCTTGACCGCAAAACCCTATACACTAAATGCATTGTCATGAACCTCCAATCTGCCAAGAAAATGTAAAGGCCTTCATGCTTCTGACTCGCCCTCTGGCCAAAGTGGCACCGTCTGTGAAGCATTTGGAAGGTGGCAGGCAGTACGCCACGGTCTGCGACAGTCCGTCATGCCGTCCACTCAAATCCGAATTCCCAAACCCCTATTCTTGTTGTGAGCCTTTGTTCAGCCATGTCTGAAGCCGAGGTTCCGAAAGGTGTTCAAGGCCTGGGATGCGCCGCTTGGGCTTCACTCAGGGTTTGGGTTCTGGGACTTAGGGCTTTGGCGTTGGCATTTCAGATCTGTTGGGGCATAGCGAACCTTAGATCCTAAGCTGAATCAAACCCCAATAAACTCCCATCAGCAAAACCCTGTGTTTTACCAAATGTAACCGAAGTAAAAGCTTTGAGCATTTCGTGCTGGTCAGCGGGCTTACGCTTTGAACGCAGACACTCAGACACTCAACCTCAAACACCAAAGATGCCTAGTTGACACCCTTAACATTCAGACCTATAGACCCTAAAGCCCTAATGCCCTACCTAATCAAAACTTTAAGACCCTGCACCCTTTCAGAGACCTTAAAACCCTAAAGTGTAAGTGTAAGCAAAGACCTAGGGGAAGTTGTGTCTTCTTTTCTGTGGTGTAACACTTTACTTTTAATTTGATTTTGCTTTTTTGGTTTTATAAGAGAGTCAGAAGGATCCGACAAATATCATTGCTCAAGGCTTTTGAACGGGCAAGAAGATCCCCATACATTTTATTTCGACACTTTATCATTTCCGGGGCCTCCTTATTAAGACTGAGTCCTGGGAAGAAGATCCCCCCATTCTTGAATTCGACACTTTATCGTTTTTCGGGGCCTCCTTATTAAGACTGAGTAGCGACGGTTGCCCGTGCTGCAAGGCGTATAACTAGGGGATACTGGAGTTCCTTGTTAACGGACAATAGGAGGGACCCTTAGAAGGGGCCCCTAATCCAAATACCTTATGTAGCCCCTTATATACCCCTTGTATAGCCTCATAAAGCCACTATATAACCCCAAGGGTCCCTTTAAGGGTCCCTCCTTAAGTCCCTTGACCTTGTGCTCCTCAGGAACGAATCGTTGGACTTGAATTTCGAGGACCACACATGGGGGCTTGCTGAGCGCAGTGATGTGGCGGACGTGGGGATGTGGGTTTTTGTACGGGACTTCCACGGCTATAAATTGGTTTCAGGCTCTGGAGTTCTGGGTTTAGGGAGTTGAGGGGGTGAAAACTGGAACTTAAGGCTTGGGGTTGAGAGGCTAGGTGGGGTTGAAGTTTAGGATCTGTGAGATTTTACCGAGGTCTAGCCCTCACGCCAAGATGCTGATCTTAACCGTGAAGGATCTCGAAGGGGTTAGGTTGTGGGGCTTAAGGTATTTAGTATTTAGGTTGTAGGTTACCTCCTGTTGCATTGAGGGCTTGAGGTTCAGGGCTTGTAGGGCTCGTGGGTTTCATTTTGCGGCTTGAACAACAAGATCAAGGGTTTTGGGGAGCTTGCTCCCGCAAGTACGTCAACAAAAGCCCCGAAGCTCAAGCCCCAGGCTCCACCTCAAACCCTAAAAAACCCTAAACCCCAAAAGCCCTAAACCCTAAACCCTAAACCCTAAACTGAACCCTACGAGTTCCAGCCACGGCAGGAGTTGCAGAAGATGATCGCCTCCATCACTCGGGTGGCCCAGGGGGCCAGGGGAGAGAAACTTGGCCAGGCTCAGGGTCTCCGTCTAATATAGGGGCCTAAATAATTAACAATAATATTTTGGTGGTTCCCTATTATAACTAAAGTATAATGGGCCCCCAAGACCCTATTCTAATTATTAAGGCCCCTATATTAGGCTTCGGAACGAGGGTTTGGGGTTGGAGGTTGGTGCGTGTTGTGTGTGTGTGTGTGTGTGTGTTTGTGCATCTCACGCGTACTGTGTAAGTCTTCCGGCTGCTGTTGGGTCAGGAACCACATGGTTGTCGACCAATGCACCCCACATCATCCCAATTGAACTTATTGGGTAGCAGACGGAGGGTGCCCACGACGTTAACAAAGCCCACGCTTCGATTGCTTGCTGTTGTGGTGCTGAAGGTACTTCAAGCTGGCTTACCTTCGACAGTCTTGCAGCCATCATCACCATCAGCAGCAGCCGCATCATCATTGTCATCAGCGGTTGTATGCTGTTTCGGTCTTGAATTCCTGGACCCTAAGAACTCAGAACTCAAAAAGAAGACGATCCCCTTCAATCTCAACACCGAAACCTGAGACGCTGAAGCCCTACCTGCCAATCACACTGAGGAAGGAGCTACACGACATCTTCCGACTGTATCCTGACCGAAGGGGAGATGTCTTACTGTTCATGCTGTCTGCGTAGGAAAGGCGCCTCAATAATCAAGATTGGCTCTGGGAGTAAGCTATACTGCAAACAAAAAGTATGATAATCAGGTGATACTACCTGGGAAATCTTGCGCAGCAGAGCTCTCTAATCGTGTATATGTTTGTCTCAGGGGGCCCTGCACACATGTATTCCTGCTCTATTCTAGCGCCGCCGGGCATTAAATTCGGAGGCTGGGCAAGTAAGAGATAAGGATCCTGTTGTTCACGGGCTTGCATACTTGGGCCAACATTTTCTGAAGCTTCCCAGTCTGTTCAGGGCCCCATGGAAGGGAGGTTAAAGTTTTTGACCGTACAACGCAACCGACGGGACCGAACATTAGCAAAAGCATTGGTATCCTCTGGAGGCTTCTCTGTTGCAATGGCCGTAAGATGTACCTTCAAGCCCTCTTGAGACTCATTAAGGCCCCTGGTTTAGGGGCTGTACGGCATAAGCAAGAGGGGGTTGAGGGTTCTGAGTTGAACTTTGGAGTGCCGGGCGCGGGTCGGAGTAATATGGGGGCCTTAGTAACCTAAGTACTTACCTATACTATTCTGGGGGTTCCTTATTATATTTATAGTAATTACAATGGGCCCTAAAACCGTAGTCTAATTATCAAGGCCCCTATATTACTAGCAGAACCAGGGGAGAGCCACAACTGTGTAGTAGACGCGGTTCAGTCGCACGGCCTCTGCATCCCTTCGATTGCCCATAGACTCCAAATAGGAAAGCCTAAACCGGAATCGTTGATGCCAAACCTCCAACCCCTGGATTCTTAGTTCGACTTACCATAAAAACTGAGGACCTTTGCCATGAGACCTATACTATACCGGGAACCCAGCACACACTTTGACCGGAAAACATCCAAGAAGCAGCCGCTGAAGGTTGCTTCTGTCGGCTTTCGCTTTCGCCTGCATGACACTACAGGAGGGTTCAAGAAGCTTAGGAAACATGGATACAAGTACCTTAGTTGGGGACAGTAGCTAAGTAGCTATGAATACGGGTCCCTCATACCATAGAGCTCTACTCACCAAGTCCCCTGGTCTACGTGCCGAATCCCTTGATGTAGGAAGAACCTCGAGGTTCCTGTTGGGGTTCTCAATAAGGGTCTTCTTAGCTTAGGATTGTAGTTCCAGAGGTTTCTACATGAGGCTCTGTACTCGTGATGTGCATCGAAGCATGCGGAGCCATACCTCTCCGAATCCTTGCATCGCCCCTCATGAGGTTCGATTCCAACAACGACAATGCCCTGGACTTTCCTGAGTTCCTCCGAGTGATGCTACTACCTCCGCACTCAGAGTTCGGATGACTGACCCAACGCCGTAAAGCCTAAACGCCCTATAGAATAAAAAACCGCAAAGCCCAAACCCTAAACCCGAAAGCCATGCACCCCTCAGGCTAGACTTCGGCTTGAGCGTCTAGGCTCGGGATGAGAGAGCCTGAGGGGTTGAAGGTCCTGCTTGCCCGGAGAGCCCAACACCCCTCGACTCAGGAGTATATCTCAAAGCATATAGGGCTTGTTATGATGATTTAGGGTAATTTTCCATTGAGCCTGAAGCTCTAGGGTGCTCAGACGATACCTAAAACTAGAAACCCCGATGCCCTGCATGGAGAGACTCTAAACCCCTAAGCCCTATGGCCCAAAACCCCAAACCATGCACTCTCGGCCCTAAGCCCTCAAACTTTTTGTCTCGAACCCAAGATCGGAAACCCTAAGCTTTAATAATAACAGTACTAACCATACTAAAAATGAGCCTTAAACTTCATGGGCGTTCCTCCGTCCATCGAGACTTAGAGGCGGAAGCTGGTGGCGGAGAATTGGCGGGGCATCAACGACTCGGCGCGCCGACTTTCGAGGTCGACGAATTAAAGGGCTTCGGGCTTTAGGCTTTAAGTCGACAAAGTAGGGCTTCGGATTAGAACTGTCGGGTTTAGGCTTTAGGTCGACATTTAGGGCTTCGGGTTAGGAATTCGGGTTTAGGCTTTAGGTCGACATTTAGGGCTTCGGGTTAGGAATTTCGGGTTTTAGGCTGTAGGTCGACAAAGTAGGGCTTCGGGTTAGGACTGTCGGGTTTAGGCTTTAGGTCGACATTTAGGGCTTCGGGTTAGGAATTTCGAGTTTTAGGCTTTAGGTCGACAAAGTAGGGCTTCGGGTTGGGACTGTCGGGTTTAGGCTTTAGGTCGACATTTAGGGCTTCGGGTTAGGAATTTCGGGTTTTAGGCTTTAGGTCGACATTCAGGGCCTCGGGTTCGGAAATTCGGGTTCAGAGTTCAGTTCGACATTTAGTAGAGTTTCGGCTTAGGAAATTAAAGGGTTTAGAGTGTAGGCCGACATTTAGGGTGTCGGGTTAGGAAACTCGGGTTTAGAGTTTACGTCGAGCAGGCTTACCGGTCTGTCCACTGGATGTTTGGCGACCAACTATCGAAACATATGGAGCATGCATGGGGCGTGATGATCCGCAATTTCGTGTTCATACATTGATTGGTTCGAGACCTGCAGAGGAAGTCCGCATGGTCGCACGTTGATGGGGTGTCAGATCCCGGGTCCTGCGCCCGGCGACAAAAACTACTGGCGAGAGACTGCCCAACAAGAACGGCAGGGCATCCTTCTCGCTTGCGCGGGGGGCTGCAAGTCGTTGGGCATGTGTTCAGGCTTCGCCAGTATAGCGCTCAGCTTCAGAGAACCAAGTTCATCCCACTGAAGCACTTCCTGATGGCTCGAAGATTATCTGAAGAATCTGTGACTTCAGTGCCACGCGTGGTTGGAACCAGCCGGTCCCCCGCCGGGGACTACAACTGTCGTGTTGGCAGGCGGCTGCCTGGGGACACAGAAGCTCCTCCCAGTGTACTAGGGACGCATGGGCTTGGCCAACGCAACGACAATGGACAAGGGCGGATCACTCTGGGTTCTCTGGGATGTTGCACGGAATTGACGTTGCCGTATGCTCTGAACGAGCACTTGCGTTGGGGCCCGCGCCCACTTAGCCAGAAGTGGCATCGGCTGCTTGAAGCACTCCCAGACGGAACTTCCCCTCTAACTCGCCTGAACCCCAAACATTGAATCCGGTTAGTAGCAGTATAGACAAGGTCAAGACGTTCAGACCCGTAAAATCTTATGGCCCAAGCTTTCCAAGCCCCTTCGTCCTTCAACACCCTTCAATGCTAAGCTCCCAAAACACCCTTGAACCCTAAACCCTTCATGCAAAGAAGAGTGTCACAGAAGAG